TGCTTTTTTTCCTTTCAAATCCAAGCTTCAAAGGAGCCTTTGCACCCACCTCCTAGGCACTTGGACCTGACATCTGGCTGTGGTAGAGCCTCGGTCCCCTAGGCCCCGCCCCCTAGGCTAGCGGCTTGCTCCGGGTGGAGGCTTGCATGCAGCATCATCACAGCATCGAAGCATCAGAAGACAGCCCCAGGAAGGGACGGAGGAGCCAGAGATACCGGAAGAGAATATGAGAGAAAGAGAAGGAGGGAGGAGGAGAGTATGGGTGGGCGGGCTGGAACAATGGGACCGGCAACGCAGAGGAGAGAAAGAAAGGGGAGGAAAAGATCTAAGAAAAGGAAGGAAAATACATGAACAGGAGAAATGGGGGTGTGGTGGGGGGATAAAAGAATAGGGAAAAGGAGGGAAGTGGGGAAAGAGAACGGGGCTAAAGCAAGTACAGAACAGAACCAAACCAGAAAGAGGTAAATAGCAATTCAACGAAACCTGCTCTGCCCCCAGACCAGGTGAGGGCTAAAGATGCAATCAAGCCCCTGCCAGATCCCTGACCCGGGAGCTCACGCCCAGGCAGGAAAGATGGGCGTTGCCTCCTCCCTTGAGAGCACCACAGAGCAGAAGCAAGAGCCCATCCAGCACCTTATTCTCACTTGGGACCCGCTGGGGACCTGGTGAGGTGGCTGGAGTAGGCCTAGGGAGTCCTGCTGTCACTGATGGATCACGCTCCAGCTTCTCTCCTCCGGGTTGTCCCAGCCCCTTCCCTCGTTCCTCTGCCTCCACTTTCCCCTTCTTGGACTACGCGGCCCACCCCCAAGAATGGGGCGGACCCTGCCAGGACTAGAAATACAGCCTTCTCTTCAAAAGCCTGGCCTGAGGGCACTCTCTAGAAAAGAATGAGCTGCTGGCTGGGCCTGGATGTGAGGTTGTACCTGAGAGGAGGGGGATCCAAAAGCACAGGGGGCCCAGAGGAAAGAGCTCAGGCGAGGGAAGGGTGGAGAAAGGACCAGAGTCCCAGGGGAGAGAAAGGGGAGGGGGGCAGGGGACAGACAGACAGACAGGAGTGGGGGTGGGGGAGAGCAGGGAAAAAAGGACCGACAGGAGGGAGGATGGAGCATCTTCTCATTCTCCTCCCCTCACAGCTAAACTCATCCTCCAAGCTCTGTGCACTCTGACCCCATTTCCTGGCCTCCCACCTGCTCCTCAGCCCCCTCCAGTCTGGCTTCCTCACCCATCACTCCACTGAAACTTAGGGCACTAATCCATCACTACCATGCTGCCAAACCCAGGGAGCATTTTGCCCCTTATTGTACTAAGTCTCTCTGCAGCATCTAATTCTCCCTCCTTCTAGAACAATCTCCCCCTCCCTTACATGACACCCACCATCCCTCTTCTCCTTGCCCTTCTACTCTCACTCTTGTCCTGTCTCCTGTGCGGAGGGGCTCCTGCTCCCCTTCCCACCCCTGCAGCCCCCAAGGGTCCTCAGGCTCTGTCCCGGCCCTTCATCTGTCCTCCCTCCATGCAAGCTCAGGAGACAAGTCCTTCCACACCATCGTCCTGCGGGCCCATGTTTGTCTTTCCTCTGAGCTCTAGACCCAGACACCCGAGGGTTGCCCCCGCCTTTCTGCCTGGATGTCTCACAGGCACCTACCTAACACTCCACATGGACGAACTTCATTCTTCATCTTCCCTGAAAACCTGGAAAAGATGAAGAGACAGAGGGACATCTCTGAAGCCTGAGGGACTTGGGTTGAGGCTGAGAAAGAGCAGAGCTGTGCCTGGAAGCTAAGGAACTTAGCTGAGAACCCAAGGGCCAAGCCAGTGTGATGCTGAGCAAAGGAAGGGAGAGAGGACTGCACACACTTGGGGTCTGCCCCTGACTCTGCCCCCAGGGACCCTCAACAGGACCACAGCAGACCTCCATGACAGGGATGTGTGGAGACCAAGCTGTCCTCATGCCTCATCCCTGAGAGCCACACTCTCAGACCCCCTCTCCTTCTCTCTCCTCAACCCTCTCCCAGGGACCCTCTCTCCATAGCCCCCTTTGGGGCCAGGGTGGGGGGAGATGAGCATTCTGGAAGGTCAAGACTGGGGAGGGAAGGCAGGGGAACTTCAGAGCGGCTGGAAAGGGCTGATCTCCACCCCCCCCACCACCAAGTGCCCTACTTCTCCCTAGTCCCACATCACAGAGTCTAGACTGGGGGCTTGGGGGGCTCCCGAGGGAGGGGGCACTGGGGATCACAGGCCTGCCCCATCTCTCATGGAGGGAGGGCACTTGGGGAAATTTGGAGAGGGAGAGAACTCAGAGCTCAGCACTTTCCTCTTTCTGTTTTTCTTCTTGAGGAATTTTTTTCCCTTAGTGCTGATGACTTTACCATTGCTTGGGGGTGTGTAGGGGGGAGATTTTGGCTTTTGTTCCCCCCCCCCCAACTCCTAATGCCCGACTAAGTCTAACATTCCACAAGAAGCCAGAGCTTCAGAGTTTCCTAAAGATGAGGTGGCGTCTCCTCCCCTCTCTCAGTGCCCTCCCTCATCCCTCCCCCCCCAAGTCTCAAGCCCAAGGAGGCCCAGCCAGGCTGGGAGGAGACCCCAAGCACATTCTTCCTCTCACTGTCATGCTGCAGAAATTAAAGACACATCTTCGGGCTGGGCGCCCGCCAAGCGTTTCAAGTCGAAAGTGGCAGAGGAGGCCCTGGGCCTCAGCTCTATGCCACGTGTAAAGAATGCTTGGAAAGCCTCTGCCCACGACTCCTGGGACAGAGGTCTGAAACTGGATGTTGGGGCTGTGGCTGTCACACACCACACATACGCAAAACCCACCCCCCCAACCCCAGGGTTCCCCAAACATCCTTCAGGACCCCAGGCCTGAGCTATAGCAGCTCCTCCTTGTCATCTGAGGCTCCATCTCTTCTTTAAGATAGGCCTGGGATGCCTGGACCAGGAGCACCCAGGGAGTGGACTGGAGGCTGGAGTCCTGGCTTCCAGAACTCAGCCAGGGAGGTGGGCAGGTCACAGGACCCTCATCCCAAGCCTGTGACACCCGGCCCCAGACAGCCACTGCAGAGGGACAGGACACTTGTCCCCCTTGTCCCTGACCCCCAGGAGGTGGAATGGGGGGGTGGGTAACTGCCATCTCAGCAGCCCAACGCTGTCCTGCCCTGCAGTCGCTGGCACTAGGCGGGGGCAGATCCTGGGCCACAAGTTGCTGCCACATGGTGGGGATAATTGATGAAGGCTCGTCCCTCCATTGCTGTCTGCAGCCCTGCCTCTCTGGAAACTCTATATTTTCCCTTTAATTATAGCCCCTGCACTCTCCCTCCGCCGCCCCACCCGCACCGCTCATCCTGGCTGCCCACGGCCTACGTGGCTCCCTCCCCTTCTGTTCCCTTGGTCTTTTTTTTCCTTTGCCTTCGTTGCACAAAACCAGCTGGGGGAGGGCGTGGAGAGGGGCGGGGGGGTGGGGGGAGGCAATGGAATTTTGGATGGTTTGGGGGAGGCGGGACTCCCCGCTTCCACGTTTGCAGCTCTGGAGTGATGGGGGTGGGGGAGCTGGGCAGGAGGGACAGGAGTTGATGGACACTGCAAAGGGACCCCAACTGCCTTCTCTTGGGCCCACAGATTTCAGTAGGACCAAGAGCAGAGTGCTGTTGGGAGGCTGGGAGGTGGGGAAGGGGGGACACTGACTTCTGGGGGCATTCCCCAAATATAGCCTGTTGTTCTTGGGGTCTCCACCCCCTTTCAGGGTACAGATGATTCTCTCCTGGTTCCAGGGGCTGAGAGCAATTCCCTGGGTTTTCAAGAAAGAGGTGGGGCAGTGGGGAACATCCTCTAAAATAAGGTCACTCAACCATCCCTGCAATTCCATCCCAAACCCCCAAAGGCAAGTCTCCCCCTGACACCCAAATTCCCCACTATGCTCCAACCTTGAGTCCAGGTACAACCAGGGAGGGGCTTTCTGCAGCTCCCAGAAGGAGCACCCTCTCTCTGGTCCAATGTCTTCCACCCAAGTGCTGCCCGGTGTGACTCTGCGGGGTCGGAGGGTCTCTAACCAGGCCCTGGCCACCGCCTGGGCCGGCCCTCACACAAAACCCTTTTCTAGGCCACTAGTGATCCCAGCCCTCTTGTACAACCTCACCGCCCTGGAGGGTGGGGCGGGGGGGAAGAGTCCCAGCAACTTCCCACCACTACTCTCCAGCCCTACCACTTAACCCCCAAGCTTCCTCCTGGAGAGATCACACAGTCAATTTTCTCACCCAGTGTCTCAGCCTCCCTACTCCATCTCTCTCAGTCAAACCTTGGGTTTGGGGGAGAGCATTTGAGTCCATCTTGGAACCTCAAGCAAGGCAGAATTGACGTCCTCAAAATAAACCCCTCTTGCCAACAACCCCCATCCAAGTATCTCACTCCTAATGTCTGCAAAGGAATCTCTAACTTGTTCCCAAAATATGCCTAAGCTTGGAATCCCTGCCACACCAGAAGACACCCCTAAACAGGCACATCTTTGAAATTCTCTGGTTCTCCGGTTTTAGAGGAGAAGCCGGCCTCTTCATACCCATCCCTTAGCTCTTGCCAAGGATGTCAGTAGGGTGAATGAGGCATGGCCAGGACTACCCTCGCCAGATCACCCCCATTCCTTCTACCTCTGGAAGCTTCCCCTCCTAGCTCCCCAGTTCCAGTTCCAGTTCCTCCCGCTGGGAGAGTCTTAGGAACAAAAACCCAAGGGGCACCACTACCCACTCTTTAGCCCACACTATACTGAGGACCTAGCCGCACCTCGGCAGCAACATCTCTGGCCCAGGCTGGGCTGGGGGGCTGGGGAGGCAGAGCAGCGAAGGGGGGAGTTGTGCGGTGGACTCCCTTCCCTTCCCTCCTCCTCCCCCTCTCCCTTCCAACTCCCAAATTGGGGGCCGGGCCAGGCAGCTCTGATTGGCTGGGGGACGGGCCGCCGGCTCCCCCTCTCCCTGGGGCAGAGTTCCTCCCCGCTCTCCGTCAGGATGGTATAAAAGGGGCCCGGGCCAGTTGTCGGAGCAGACGGGAGTTTCTCCTCGGGGTCGGAGCAGGAGGCACGCGGAGTGTGAGGCCACGCATGAGCCGACGCTAACCCCCACCCCAGCCGCAAAGAGTCTACATGTCTAGGGTCTAGACATGTTCAGCTTTGTGGACCTCCGGCTCCTGCTCTTCTTAGCGGCCACCGCCCTCCTGACGCGCGGCCAAGAGGAGGGCCAAGAAGAAGACAGTAAGTCGCAAACTTTCGGGGAGTCCAGGGCTACTTGGTATCTTGCCCTGCGCTCGGTCCCAGGGGTCCACGACGTAAACTGAGACTCGGGATGCTCCGGAGACTCAGGGATGGAAGGGAGATGGGGAGGGCTCTTCCTGGGCGCCGTGGGAGAGAAGGCAGTGCACCCCGGGTGGAGGGTGTAGGCGAACGCCCCCGGGTAGTGAGAGGGGAGGATGGAGCGCCGCGGGAGTTGGCACAGGAGGGAGTCCTGAGCGCGCACTGTGGAGTACCACGGGGGAAATGGGCGCCGAGTGAGGGGAAAGTACGTCGAAGATGGGTCGGGGGCGCCGTGCTGGGAGTTTGGAGCCCCAGATGTAAAAGCGATCGGGAAGGCTGTGGGATGATTCATAAGGAAAGATTGTTTGCCCTCTCTGCAGGCTAGACAGTGTTCCTGGGGCCGCGGGGGTGCTGGGCTGAGGGGGGAGGGGGCGCGGAGAGTGGGTGGGTTGGAGGATGAGAAACTTTGGCGCGGACTTGGCAGGGCGGGGTCCTTGCGCCCTCTGCTGAGCCACACTGAGCCCCGCGCCTCCCGGTCCAGCGCTTCCCCGCGCAGGACCTGCACTGAGTGCACGGGCGTTATTGCCGCTTGTCCTGGAAAATAAAGCTGGGGACTGGGTAGCCTCAGTGTCTAAAAGAAAGTGGCCAGTCCCTGGAAATTGCTTGGTGTTGCCCGCCACCTAGTGGCCATCTGAGTAGAAGCTCGCGCGGTGGGCGTGGTTAGCTAACTTCATTACTATTTGCGGACTTTTTGGTTCTCTGGCTAAGGAGTGACCCAGAGGCCCTGGCTAGCTTTAGGAAAGAGGGGTTGTCCCGAGAGAGGGCTTTTGAGATGTCTGGGCGCTGGATGTTAGGGTGTATCCTATTTTGGGGGTACAATTCAAGTCTCTGGGCGGGACCTCAGGCCAATAGGCCCCGCCCCATCCTCTTAGCCCCGCCTACGCTATCCCACCTGCCCTGGGATGGGGCAGAATGGGGGCTGGACCTCCCTTCCCTCCTCCTACCGGCCCCCCCCCGACCCCACCCTTGTCTCCACCCATACCACGCCCCCCGAGTCGGCCCGCTTGTTGGGGCCCCTCCTGTTCTCTTTCCTCCCCAGTCCCCCACCTCCCCTCCCCCACCCAGTGGCTTTTTTATTTCACTTGGCTTCAGCGCCGATGGGCTGGGGTTGGAGTTGGAAGCAACTCCGGCCTAAAGCTTTGTTTAAATTCCTGAGAACTGGAAAGAGTTAGGGCCGCCCTGGCCAGGCGCCTCGGCGCTGTCACTGGCCCTGATGAGGAGCAGATGAGCTTTTAAGGATTTGGGGAAAGGAGCGGGCACGGGGTGGAGGAGGCGGGAAATGGAAAATCTAAAAGTGTCCTTACGAGGCGGGAACGGCAGGCAGGGCTGGGGTCCCTGGAGCCCCGCAGTGGGGGGCTCGAGGGCCGCTGACAGCCCCTCCTTCCCCCTTTTGCCCCAGTCCCACCAGTCACCTGCGTACAGAACGGCCTCAGGTACTATGACCGAGACGTATGGAAACCCGAGGCCTGTCGGATCTGTGTCTGCGACAACGGCAACGTGTTGTGCGATGACGTGATCTGCGACGAAACCAAGAACTGTCCCGGCGCCCAAGTCCCCCCGGGCGAGTGCTGCCCCGTCTGCCCCGACGGCGAGGGTACGGTCGGGGGCCTGGGGCTGGGGGAGGGCGGGGCCGCCGGGAGTACCCGGTGCAGACCCCGCCGCTCACCCGCGTCTCTTCTCCCCTAGCGTCTCCTACTGATCAAGAAACCACAGGAGTTGAGGTAATCCGCTGTCCTCGACTTTTGCCACCCGCCCGAGGGTCCTCAAGCGCCTCCCGTCTCTAACCCGGCTTCTTTTGTTTCTTTTCCCCCCACAACCCTATAGGGACCCAAGGGAGACACTGGCCCCCGAGGTCCAAGGGTAAGTTAGCGTGGCCTTCGCTCGGCATTCCGGGCTGCAGGTGGGCGTGGCTCCAGGCCTGCGCTCACCGCTGACCCCCCCCCCGCGCCGCTGCAGGGACCTGCCGGCCCCCCTGGCCGAGATGGCATCCCCGGACAGCCTGGACTTCCCGGACCCCCCGGGCCTCCCGGACCCCCCGGACCCCCTGGCCTCGGAGGAGTAAGTGAAGACTTAAGACAGCCCTGGCAGGCCCTGTGTGCGCCCCTCACCTCCTGTTCTTCTTCTTCTTCTTTTTTTTTTTTTGTGGGTTTTTTGGCAGATGGCATACTTTATATTTTGAAATGATTTCAAACTTACAGTAAAGTTTCCAGACTAGTGCCAAGAACTCTCACATACACTTCACAGTTTGTCACATTGCTTTATCAGTCTCTGTGTATACATATAACTGTCACTATTTTTCCTTCTGAACCATTTGTGCCAGAGTTAGTTGCTGATGTTACGTCCTTTGCTCCTAAATACTTTAGTGTGTACTTCCTGGGAACAAGGACTTTCTCTTATGCGACCGTTGCACAATGATTACATTTCAAAATTCTGACATTGATACATAACTATCATCTAACATATCGTCCCTGTCCAAATTTCAACAATATCCCGATAATGCCCTTTATAGCATCTTTTCTCCTGACCCAGGATCATGAATTTCATTTAACTGTCATGTGTCTTCAGTTTCCTTTACTCTGGAACATTCGTCAGACTTTCTTTGTCTTTCACGACACGGAAATTTTTTTAAGAAGCCGGTTGCTTTGTAGAGGCCAATTGTTTTTATAAGACGGTCCCTCAGTTTGGGTTGGCTGGATGTGTCCCCATAATTAGAGTTGGGCCCTGCATTTTTGGCAGGAATATCTCACAAGTGATGTTGTTGTCCTTCTTAGTGCATCACATCAGGAGGCCTATGTCAATATCCTGTTGTCAGTGACATCTTCCGCCTTTCTATTCACTGATTTCTCATACACTCTCTCTTGTTTTTTCTAGAACTTTGCTCCCCAAATGTCTTATGGCTACGATGAGAAATCAACTGGAGGAATCTCCGTGCCTGGCCCCATGGTGAGCCACTGGGGGGGGGGGGGGGCAGAGATGACAGAAGAGGAGCCAGTGCGGATCCAGACAGGATGGGCCAGTGGTGGCATATGGGGGTGTTATAGGAGGTCAAGACGACCTTCGGAACCTGAAGTCCAGAGAGGAAGACAACTGGGTGGTCTCAACAGGAACCACTGGGAGATAGCAAGACCACACCCACATGGCACTTTCCTACAGAGGTATCACTATGGCCCCTTTTTTTTTCCTTCTGTAGGGTCCTTCTGGTCCTCGTGGTCTCCCTGGCCCCCCTGGTGCACCTGTGAGTATCCAGGATGTCATCATGTACCACCCTGGGCTTTGGTCTTTAGAAGGGAGGATTGGGATGAGGGTAGAGAAGGTGCTCTGAGAGATCTCTTAGTGATCTGGGGAAAGATTGGTAGGGACCTGTCCTTCTAACTGAATCCCTCTTTCCTTGTTCTCCAGGGTCCCCAAGGTTTCCAAGGCCCCCCTGGTGAGCCCGGCGAGCCTGGAGCCTCAGTAAGTGCCACCCCAACTTGTACTCTATACAAGTACACACTCTTTCTACAAATACGTGGATTCTCCCATTGAAGGACGCCTCCACACCTACTGTCTGGGGTCTTCCCTACCTCCTTCTTCTAATCCCAGCCTTCCCTTTCTTTTTTTTTTTTCTCCCTTATCCTGGTTATTCTAATATCCTTTCTTCCTGTTTCCTCTAGGGTCCCATGGGTCCCCGTGGTCCCCCTGGCCCCCCTGGCAAGAACGGAGATGATGTAAGTAGCCCAGGCGAGAAGATCCCATCTAGCCCCCAACACCTCCATCAGCTAGGTCCCTGTAATCTCCACCCCAGTGCCCCACCACCTTCGGGGGGTGATGCCCAGAGAAAGGAGGCCAAGTTCTCCCTGATGCACGGGACTGCCCTTGAACAATGATCTTCACCCCTTGTGGGATGTTTCCCCATCTCCCCAGTGGAGGTGACTGGCCCTCCCCTCACCCCAGCCACCTTAAAGCATTCCCCAGCCCCGTCTGATGGGGTGAATGACTTCCTTAGGCTTAATGGCTCTGGGCATTAGATTTGCTCTCCATCTATAGAAATAAACAGAAATACCTTTGGAGGGACTCAAAATTCACCAAACAAGGATTTTACAGTAGATTTAAGCTGAGCTCTAAATTCAAAGATAAGATTCTGGGCTCCTAAACCTGACTTTCAACAGTACTAAAGAAAACTCAGACCTTCCACGCTTTTCTAGCCCACGGAGGGGGGTGGGGGCAGGGGCATGATGGCCTTTTCTCTCCCTTTCAGGGTGAAGCTGGAAAGCCTGGTCGTCCTGGTGAGCGTGGACCTCCTGGACCTCAGGTGAGCGGGGATGCGTGGCTGGCCGTGGACTTCGCTACAGGTGGGCTTCGCTTGGGAGCTGGGTCCTCCGTGGCATCTTCTAAAGGCTCTGCCTTTCTCCTCCTTTTCTTTTCTCTCCAGGGTGCTCGGGGATTGCCTGGAACAGCTGGCCTTCCTGGAATGAAGGGACACAGAGTAAGTCCCCTTTGAGCCATCTAAACTCCCCAAGTCCCAGCATCTGACAATTCCAGCCCCTTTCCCCAAAGGATCCTGTGTGCGCCCTGGAGGGTGGAAGCTACAGAAGTCCCAAGGGATAGAGAGTAGCCATCCAAAAGAACTTCCCTCCATTGGGAAAGAAATCTCAATAAAGGGATTGGGTGAGCTCTTGGCCCAGCTGGGGTTTAGTCTAGCACAGAGACAGAGCCTGTGGTGACCCCCTGAGGCACCTTCTCAGGTCAGAGTGGGGCTTCCATCGGTACTCACCTTGGCCCTTCCTATCTTAGGGTTTCAGTGGTTTGGATGGTGCCAAGGGAGATGCTGGTCCTGCTGGTCCTAAGGTAAGAAGATGCCTGAATGTCATGGGCCTCCTCCTGCCCCTCCCACCCCACCCCATGAACGAATTCCTAACTTTATTCTCCGTTCTCTAGGGTGAGCCCGGTAGCCCTGGTGAAAACGGAGCTCCTGGTCAGATGGTGAGTGTGTCCAGTTCTAGAAGGAAGAGAGGGAGCAGGGTATAGGGGCAATATGAGGTTTGGGGGGGAAGTGTGTGTCTCCCATCTCACGTGGCTTTTCTGGCTTTTGTTGTCAGGGCCCCCGTGGTCTGCCTGGTGAGAGAGGTCGCCCCGGAGCCCCCGGCCCTGCTGTAAGTACTCGTGGCCCCTTGGGGGATGCCTGGGCTCTGACAGAGGTTCCTGATGAGTCGTGGGTGGCCCGTGCTCAGCGCACGTAACTGGGGCTCCCCTCTCTCCGGCAGGGTGCTCGTGGAAACGATGGTGCTACTGGTGCAGCTGGGCCCCCCGTGAGTATGACCTCTGGACCCCAGTGTCTGGGAGTGGGGAGGGCTCTCAGCTTGGGCCGGCGGGGGGCCGGGCCTGGGGCTCGGAATCCCAGGACCTCTTCTGTCCCAGGCCGTGACTTGCAGCTGCCCCCTTCCTTCTTGCTAACATTTCCATTTCATTCCCAGGGTCCCACTGGCCCCGCTGGTCCCCCTGGATTCCCTGGTGCTGTTGGTGCTAAGGTGAGCCCGCTGCCCTCCTCTGAGCACAGCTCCCACGGGCCAAGGGGTGCCTATCTCCCTGCTCTCCAAACCAGAGGGACCCAGAGCGGCCTATTCCCCAATACCTTTGTCCCGGGATCCCCTTCTCCCATGTGGGAGTCCTGATTCCTGGTCTTCCTGTCCCTGCCCTACACGCACACACACACACACACACACACACAC